TTGGGCTGCGTATGTAAACCAGCAGGCATAAGGCCCTGTTTCGTTCTCCAGTCCTAGAAAATCATGATCACAGTCATCACCAATATCTTTAATCTCTATGTTCCAAAAATAATCTCTTATAATTTTGTCTAAAATTAAGCCAGGTGTGGTGTAATCTCAGGAGGCTGACGAAGGGGGGTCGTCATGAGTTTGAAGGCTAGTCCAAACTGTACTGTGAGATCTTGCCTCAAATAAATGAATAAATAAATTTGTCTAAAATTACTATAATAACTTTTACTTTTGTCTTTCTCTGTCAAAGTCCAACAATATATTAATCACTAATAATAAAAGTGCATTAATTACACATATGTACTGAGACAATCATATATAAAATTTATTTTAATTCTCACTGAAATAAATACTATGTATGTCATCTTTTAAATGCATACATATGTATACTTATACATACAAAACACATGCATCTGTGTGTGTATGGAATTTGCATTACAAGTCCTTTAATTATGACATCACTAATCTTTTTAAATAGCTTCACAGTGGATTTAGTTTAAAAGGTGGCATAAAGAAACCTCAGTGACATTTTAATGGAATGATTAGAAGATTTGGATTTCTAATAGGAATTACATTTGTTGAATAACTATAAGAGAGTAAACATTTATAGTTTTTCACAAGAATCTATGATGTGTTACTTTTAACAATGTCATTTTATATTGTTTTATAAAGCTTTTTGTAAGCTAAATTTAGTTCCATGTGTTTTATAAATATATGACTTTTTTACTTTTATAAATAAAACATTTGTCATTTATCATTAAGATACTTTATCCAATTATTATGTACATTAGAATAGTATTTTTTTATTATTTTATTCTTGTACTTTAGGTGTAGCATAAGTAACTAAAACCTGTGGTTAGTATTTCCAAAATATTCAAGCAAATTATGTAATTTTATTTTTTGTTTAAATCACTAACACCTCCAAAACAACTATAAAAGATAAGAGTAAAAGTAACTATTAAGATTTTCTATTTTTAATAGAAGCTACATTTTTTTTTTACTTTTTAAAATTATGGGGGCCAGGGATGTAACTCAGTGACACAAGTGCCTGCCTGGAAAGCACCGAGGTCCTGAGTTTGATTTTGGTAACACAAAATAAAGTAAAATTAAAATTATGGTTTGCTGATAGATTTTTGAGTAAACTCTGTAAAATTTGAATATCTAATTTTCATTTCAATTTTATTGTTTTTATAGGCTTGTTGCTGAATCATATTGAATGTTTTTCAGCATTCCCTGATAAAATATAATAATCACTCTTTAATAAAATTTTGGATACTGAAACATCCTTGTGATTAGAAAGTAATGCATTTTAAATGGAAGGAAGCAAACCAAATCCACATATTTCAAAGCAAGTACATTAATACGTTGAGACATGATCTTAATAGAGTACCACGCTTGCCTTCCAGGTGTATGTTTTCTTTCTAAAGCAATTAGATGAGTTAGTATCTCCTTTTCCCAGGCTAAGATTTAAGAATTCCCCAAATGTATGAAAGTATTACTGAGACAGCACTTGACTTCACATTTGCCTTAAACAGGGCCTCTGTTGTTTTAAAAATGTTAGACAGAGCAGATCAGTCCAGAAAAAATGCTGATAACCTCTGAGAGAAATCCCACCTCCCCACATCTATCCCTCTCCTCCCCCAGCCTCACTCAGATAACCAGTGAAGCACTGGAGAAAAAAATGAGGTGAACTTCAGGTTTGGAGTCACATAGGCCTCAACTTTAATCCTCACCCCACTACTCATTTTGTCCCCTGTGTCACAGATGCAGTGAAGATGGTATGAACCAGGTCCTCACAATGTCTTGCATAAATATCACATTCAATAAATGGTGGTTACTTAAAATAATGCAAGTAACAGTAACTATATTTAAACATTGTAAATATTCAGTTTGAATAAAAGTCTCCTACTACTTCATTTTGTAACCAGAAAACTGCAGTGTGGGGCCTGCTGAAAATGTTTTGGAATTGATTTGTGTAAATCAGTGATGGTGAGCTAAAATCTATCATCTTTGACTGCTTCATCATATTTATCACTCTGCTAAACTGAGCAAGAGAAGCCTATTCTTTCACAGTAAAACTTCAGCTACTTGCTCCTGATTCCTACTCTTTCTGGCTTCTGTCCAAAACATCAAGCTTCCAGCCCTTGAGTGCCAGGGGCCAAGGCCAGCACGGGGAAGGAGTCAGGCGAGAGACTGAAGACACAGGGATACCAGTTGCTCAGGAGGCAAAAGGCGATTTATTAAAGGACTCCAGAGTTTTATAGTGTTTCAAAACAAAGAGCAGTACAAGTCACTTCAGGACACTTTCTTGTGCATGCAGCAAAGATAAACATGTTCTTGGGCCCATGAGAAACTTCTTTGCTTATGTTATGAAGCTATTCCCAGGTTAATATCAGCGCGATGCTTTGTCTAGAAGGCTGAGGTTACTGCAGGATAAGGAACTGTTTGGGGTCCAGCCTAAGTGTGTGGTTTTCCACACCTGTTCACTGCCAGACCCCAGGTTCCTGCTCCCAACACTTGGGATTACCACCTCAGAACTGAGAATCATACCATGCGCCCTTTGAAAAGTCACTCTTCATCAATTTATTGATACATTTGGGAAGAATGTTCTTTTCAGTAGCACTGGGGGGGGATGGGCATGTTAACAAGGAATTTGCTACAGTAAACAAAATTTAATGGAGGTACACAGCAACTTGATAAAACTTCAGATCCCAGAAATGCTTTACAAAATCCAAACTCTGGATTTGTCTGAAGGCTTGGCAAAGCCGTCTGATTAGCAAGCACAATTTAAATCTCTCTCTCTCTCTCTCTCTCTCTCTCTCTCTCTCTCTCTCTCTTTCTGTGTGTGTGTGTGTGTGTATGTGTGTGTGTGTGTGTGTGTATGTGTGTGTGTGTGTGTGTGTGTGTGTGTGTGTGTGTGAAAAAGTGAGAGAGAGGCCAGAGACAAAGATGCGTATCATAAGTATGAGTATTCATATTGATGAGTATTCAAATTCCTGGTAGAGCCAGACAAATAATAAATACATGGAACAAGTTGCAAGTATTAAGTACTGTGTTCACTAGCAGGTCAGTCAACTCTCAGTGGATTTTTCCCTATGAGAATACAGGCCTTGAATAGTAATGTATTTCTAATGTTAAGATAATATAGTATAAAAATATCATTTTATATGAAATTATCAAAATAATATATGGCCCAAACAAAACTGTATGGAGAACATATTTTATAAGCAGTTAACTTACTTAATATTTATAATGCCTAAAGAATGTTTACATTCTGTTTTCAAAGTGAATATGAAATGCATAATAATGTATAATACATAGTGTTATACATTGAAGTCACACAGCTGTTTAGTATCAGAGTCAAGGACAGAGAATGTATTTTTGAGTTTATCTCGTCTTTTTCCTGAAAGGGCTGACCTTATAACAGAGTTGAGAAAGTGTATAATTCTGGATGAAGCTGAGGCTCTGAATCATAGTTTTGAAATATATTAGTGTGCAGGAGTAATCATGAACACTGTGCCCTTATAGAAAGACGGCATAGTCCCAGTGGCTCCTGCAGACTTCTGGTTGGGCTTTAGACATTAGAAGATCCTGAAAGTTCTTTATTCTGACTTCATTAAAAATGCCAGGAAGTGGCAAATGTCTTCAGGCAGACTCAGGTGTCACAGTGTTTCAAATGTGAACTGTGAAGTGACAGTCATTTTGGCTAAATGGGATACCTTGAACTCAGATAGCAGCATCCAAGGGAGGAATCGTATATCCTACATAGGTCCCTGAGGTGTTAACTTTTTCTGTGAGGTGTAAAGAAAAGAGAGCTGAGCACAGACAAAGTGATGGCTACTCTGAATCGCTCTGAATCACTCTGGATCTTTCTGGAACACTTCAGTGTTTACTGACCCTGATCTTCATGACCTAGTGAATGTCCCTTGGTGCTTTGATTCAAGTTTTCTTTGCCATGGAGATTGTTGAAATTATTATATGTTCTTTAACATTTTAAAACCCACTAGGCCAACTATTTACCAAAAATGACGTCTTTGACTTCGTACCTTTTTTTAGTGTAAATGGATACACATCTACAAAGCATGCACTCTGGAAAAGTTACTTTATTGTCAGAAGTTTTAAAGAAGAGCACACAGTTCTTGCCCTATAGAAATTCACAATACAGTGGTGATGAGAGACATGCACTTAAAGGTACAGTTGCACATGAGCCCCTGATCACTTTACCCTGGTGACCCAGGTCTTACCCTTACCACAAATGCCGAATCCTGCCAAGATTCTTTTATAACTCACTCCCTATAAAATAACTTCATATAGAATCAGCCTAAATAATTGATAGAGTTGCTCTAATTTCCCCTTTCATATTGACTAGAAAAATATTTATTGAATATTAACATACATATCAAACTCCTGAAATCTTGCTAAAATGAAGACTGACCTGCAAACTTGCAGAAGCATAATAAAATTCCAACATTTAAACAAGGCTTTAGACAACACCTTGCTGATGATCACTGGGCTACACTTTTAATAAGCAAAATAATAAACAATCTCAGTAAAACTCAGACACCTTGTGAAGAGTTTAATTTAAATAAAAATGAGAATTTAAACAAGAGAAGGCCTATGCTTCTAGATCCTAAATGCTTCCAAAATCTTATAGGGTTCCCTTAGTCACAGTCCAAGCCTGTACTTTCCAGCTCTCCCTTGGAAGATTCTTGGGATTTTTACTCTTCATTATTGTGCTGGAAGATAAGTATTTTCAGTGACTCAAATAACAACAAAATGATTCATGTAGTCTATGAAATGCAAGCCTCTATTTGAAATTCAGAAGTTATGTTAACAATTAATGCTAATTTAATCACCGTGAAGTCAAAGAAGCAACTTCCTTTTTGGTTGGAAAACTGTCCTCTTTCTATGGTAGATATCTCAGAGAAAACAAAGCTTTCACTTTTATGCCATCACTTAGACTTCAGATCCAGCTTCTCTAGGACTTTTACTCTAATCTGCCAAGTTTGCACACAGTATACAATTGGATTCATCAATGGCGGTACCAGCAAGAAAGCATCTGCTATCAGAATCATAGCTAAAGGAGACTTATGCTTAGCAAAACGATGCATAGTGGCCAAGGTGATGATGGGCACATAGAAGATTAGCACAGCAAAGATATGAGACACACAGATATTAAAAGCTTTGAGCCGCTCCCCTTGAGATGCAATGCCAAGCACTGTTTTCAGTATGAACACATAGGAGACGGCAATGAACACACTGTCTGACATCACACAGAGTGCAACAAACAGCCCATAGTAAAAATAGACCTTATTATCCGAGCAGGTCAGCTTCATGATATCCTGGTGGAGGCAATAGGAGTATGATAATAAGCACATATTACAGTATCTCAGCCTCTTTAATATAAAAGGAAGGGGAAGAACTAGAAGAATGCTTTTAATGACAAGTGCTAGCCCAATTTGTAAAACTCTGTAGTTGGTGAGGATAGAGCTGTATCTCAGGGGATGGCAGATGACAACAAAGCAATCAAAGGAAATGACCAGGAGCACTGAAGACTCCATATCTGTGAATCCATGGATGAAGAATTCCTTGGCAATACATGCATCAGCAGAAATTCCCATAGCATTGAACAAGAAGATTCTTAGCATAGTAGGGACAGAGGAGAAAGACAAGCCCAGGTCAGACAGGGCCAGCATGGAGAGGAAGGCATACATGGGCTCATGTAGGGAAGTATCTGTTCTGATGACCGAGAGGATGGTGCAGTTTCCCAGGATGGCCATAATGTACATGAAGCAGATAGGAATTGAGATCCAAACATGCATATGCTCAAGCCCTGGAATCCCAATCAACTGAAATGTGGTAATTTCAACCTCTGAAGTATTGGGAGGAAACATCATAGATAGAATCCTGTTCAGCTGCTGTAAGATCTAAAGTGACATTCAAAAGAACAGACAAAAATTATCTCTGGATTGTGAAATAAATTCAAAAAATAGGCAAAAAGTATATCTGGATTGTGAAACAAATTTAATACAGCTGAATCTTAGTTGACCAGAAATAATATAACTTTTTGTCTACATGAAAAACGTAGAGCCAACATAAACTTCTTCATAGCATTTATGTAAGAACTCTACACTAGTCTTCTAGTCTAACAAAAATACTGCAATTTATGCTGCTTTGACCAATATAGTATTTGCTCATATTCCTAATCCTGATAACACTGATGCCTTGAGTAACACTCCTTTTAGGAGATTTGTGACAAAAAAGCCCTGGGAGAGAAACCTGTCCTCAGGGGAGTGAGATATATGTAAAGAGAAACACAGTAATAGGACTTCCATCCCCTTCCATAGCTCCTCAAAATGAACCTTTATCAAAGTGCCATGTCACAGGCTATTCTTGACGAGCTTCCAAATTAATTCATGCAGCTGAAGAGATTGGTTTTTTTCAAGTGCATTTATCATGAAACTGCAAAAACATACCTCTATGTTACACAGAAATACCCTATATCTTACACATAGACTCAGGATTTGTTCAGCCATAACTCTCCCACAAATGTAGCTTAATCCCTTAAATTGTATCATCCATGAAAGATTTTTTGCCTCCAGCCTCCCAAAACACATAGGGATGATCTCTATAAATTGCAGTATTTCTATTAGAAAACATAATAGTTCCCTTAGGATACTTAATGTGAGTCTCCAGGACACATGCCAGACTCTGGGCTGCCTTATTCCAAACCAGGAATAAGAAGCCTTCAATTCTGCAGCTTCTGCAACCAGACTACTATAGCACCCAGGTGGGAATCCACATCTTATCTGTATTCTCACACTTTTTTAGCTTTAGTAAACCCTGTTTAGAATTAATTGTTACCTAGAATCAATTTCTACCTCTGGGAAAAAGAACTGCACTTGCTTCACTGCTGTCTGTCAGTAAGGGCTCTCCTAAGAAAATGCAGACAACAGGCTGCTAATACTCTCCAGCAGTACCCTCTGCGATGGAGGACATAAACAACCAGGTAGAATACACCTTTGTATGGATACCTGTTGGCCTCGGCACCACTGTTAATCCAGGGACCCACAGCTGGTACATGATGGCAGAGATTGACATAAAGTGGAGCCAAGTGCAGGAGTTCTCTTATCAAATATTATTTTGGTAAAAATACGGAAAACAACATTTTCTTCATTCTAAGAATGTTAGCAAAAGGAAAATATGTTTATGTCTTTTACAAAATCAGCTAGCATAGAAGAGAAGGAATTTTGTTCCCCACTCACGGGCCATTTGGCAATGCCTAGAGACATTCTGAGTTGTCAAAACTGGAGAAGATTTACCGATATCTAGATAGTCGGGTTCAGGATACTACTAAATACTCTATAATATGCAAAACACCCTCCACAATGAAGAATTCCCCAGCCCTTCACATCAAAGAAATACAAGGCCCTGACAACCCATAAAGCCAGGACTAAGAAACTCTGTCCTAAAGCACGGAGACAAACAGAAAGTTCTCTAAAACATCTGAAACAGAAAGTTTCATCTAATTACTTTTGAAGACATTTATAAACATAATAAACCATTTATTAGTGAGATAAGCTTCTCAAATTGCATTTTTACACTGCAGACTTTGTCTTATGAATGAAAACAATTATTTATATTAAGAAAACAATGAATGGACTATGCTAATGAGATTTTAGGAGAAAAATGTGATTTTCTTAAGGGAGGAAAAATTAATAATATTCAATAAAAATTCAAGACAATAGTTAAAAGAATGCTTCCTAGTGAAAAGTACCTCCCATAATTCAAATAAAACATGTTTATTAGCAATCCATTAAAATGAGTGAACTATACCACATCTACTGTCATAACTGCTATTCAATGATATTAACAAGTTTAAGAAGTACAAGAGAAAAATAATTTTAAAAAGCAAATACTATATCTACACTGTAACTGTTTTTTTTTTTTTTTTTTTTTTTTTTTTTTTTGGCCAGAAGATAACCAAAAAGATTCACTATAAGTTCTAAGGTTAATTTACCTGAGTAATGAGACAGATAAATACCAAAAATAAATAGATGATCTTGTTTTAAAAAATCTTCACTAAAACATTTTTATTACAAATATTTCTTCATTGCATTCACGAAGTATAAAATGTAGTATTTAAGAAGTTTATGTTAATTAGTTGAGGGACTGTAAAATTTTATTAATTAATTTAAGAAAACACATTATTTCTTAATTCCTTGCTGGACATAAGAATTACCATAGTGAAGAGATGTGGATTTACAATTAAATGATACATTATCAATCAGTAGCACCAGAGAAATTTTGATAGTGATAGATCATAAAATAGATATTAAACATACTTTAAACATATAAATGCATTTAGTATACCAGTGAGAACAACAAAAAAGTATAACATATCCTTTGATACATCAAAATAGAATTTGAAATTATTGAAATTATCAAACTGTAAGGAGGACTTTGTTTTTTGGTGCCAGAGATTGAAATCCAGGCCTCATACATTCATGCGTGCTCGGCATACCAGCACTTCCTATACAACTGAGATAAACCTCCAAGCCCTCTAAAACTTTTTGAAAATATATAAACATTCCTATTTTATACAACATTGTATTTGAGTGGCAAATTTCAAGGCAAAAATACACCTCATGGTAATATTAGAATTAAGAAAGGAAATACATTTATGGCTTACTAAGGATTAAAGCCATTATGTAAAACGTCTGTAAAAATAACAAATGCTATTGATTGTAAAAGGTACAGGTAAACAAAATTAAAAGTAACAAGGAGAGCAAATGTCATCCAGAAGTCATCATCCTCTCCATTTTGGTAGTGAAGCAAGGTCCACATACCTGGGTTCTGATCTTGGCGATTTGCTTCAGAATATATTTACGAACTCTGTGTATAGCCTACTCCATCTTTACTTTGGAAAAAGACTCAGTATAAAGGATAGGCTGTATTGGCATTCAGGAATCATGCCTACACACTGCAGTTCCTTAGAAACCACGTAAATTATGAAACCTAGATCTCAGCCCATATGAAAAACCCCAGACACTTGAAGATGGTGTCCTTGCATCTGAAGTAAATCAGATTGTGTATCTATTGTGCTCTTAGTGATGTTCTGGATTTTCTTGATTGTATGAGAGTTAAAAACTGTAAGCACATGATGTAGAACAGAGTACAAGGTTATCAACAATGGTTATCAACGTTGTCTCTTGTTTCCTTAAAAAGAATTGTCTATCTCATTAGATATTATAAAGTTGGACAAAAGGGTAGAGAACAAGACCAATAAAACTGAGGCATTGTAAACATTACAGGACCTCCAAAGGAGACAATAGTCAAACCAGAATGGGCATCTTAGTGAATCTTATTGCCTTCAAAGTAGTTGCCTATACCCTCAAACTTGATTCTACATCATGTGCTATGTCTATCCTTGGTTTTGACTGACAGCTTTGTTTTGTCATATTTGACTTTATTCTCCCCCCCCCCAAAAAAAAAGTAATAAGAACTAAGGAGTAATAAAATCCAAAATGTGTAAATTTTGTTGTAAAAAAGAGAGGGAGAAAAAAAAAAGAGCTCTAAGGGATATAACAGCAAGTGTGTTTAGGGGTGTTAAATAGCTGACTATATTAATGTTTTTGGATCATTGAACACAGCTGTTTGCAGTCTCTCTGTTTGAATGTCCACTTTGTATTCTTTGATACTGTGATTTGAGCAACTATTTCCAAGATGATAATATGTAATCTATTAACAGGTGATTTCTTACTGTTATGTTTTTTTTTTTTTGTAGTTCTGTATTATGTGTAACCTTACACCGCTTTGTTTTGTTTTGTGTTTTTCTCTTTTTCCTCTTAAATAAAATTTAAAAAAAACTTAAAAAAAAAACTGTAAGCAACACCACTAACTATAGATTTCCATGGCCTGAAGATGCTTTGATCATAGAAAAAGTGGTAAATACTTGGTGGTATGATTATTACAGTCAGGTAGAATAACTATCATAAAGACTGAAAGCTTCTTTTATTTCCTAGAGGTCAGGACATGGTAACATGCTGCTATCTCTGGTACTGTCACATGTAAACTTTGCACTACAGAATACCCTTATCTGCCTACTTCCAGCTGTTTCTATGATAGTAAAAATGACAAGATACACTTGAAGTATATCTTGCTAAATGAAGACAGTAGTCATTATTAAGAGAGCCAGGAAAGAACTCAAAGCATGAGAATCTGTAAGAAGGTAGAGATGATTCCAAATTAAAAAAAAAAAAAAAAAACCTCACAAAGTTTATTTACTAACTAATGAGATCTATAAACCATCCAGTTTTAAAAGATACATGAAGCAGAAAAGAAATATACAATGTGTCACATTTAGGACCCTATAAAGTCATAAAAATTCTACCCCCATTTCCTTGACATAACTGTCTTTGAAATATTCTTCAGGAAATAAATACTTGTAAATCTCATGGTGATATCTCACTTCCCACAATCTGCAGTTTGAGCCAGTTGCTCTGAATGTCTTTTCCCAATACTTCTGCTCTCTGTCTCTGTTTTGCAATCTTTTTCCTCTAAGCAATTGGGTCTCCACTTCCTCTTTCCTCTCATTTATCTGCTCAATCACTTCTTTTTAGTTTAGCCTTGAACAGTTTGTGTTGTGGGCTTTGTTTCGTGACCCTAGTTTCTTACCTGGCTCTCAACAGAAAGAGAGAGCGAGAGAGGGAGGGGGAGGTGTCCTTTCTATTTCCTGCCCAGAGAGTACGTGTGTTGCAGGTTTATAGACCTGGCCCTTTATGGGGAACATAGCATGCAACTTCACCCTGTTGGCAAGAGACTCTTGAGACTCCACATTAATTGTGACAACTAGAATTTCCTGGGCATCTACTCACACTTGACTGAAGCAAGTCAAAAC